GCTGCTGGAAAGCAAAATCCCGAATCCAGGCAAGAAACGAATCCGTCTGCGGCGCCAGGCGACGCGGATAATGGTGGCACAGAGATTCCCATACGCGCGCATGATCAAGTATCCTGACCACATTAGCTGTTTCAGTCCTAAGATCTTCGTTTACCTGAAGAAACAGAAGTACTGTACGAATGGGTCGAGATGTTGAAATACCCAGCTTTCCCCTCTACTACCAACCACTATGACTTACGACCCTTACGAACATGCCCTCAGGAGCGACATTATTCCACCGAGCGTTTTTTTTTTTTTTTTACAGAATACCAGTGTAGCCAGGATTCAAGAACAGGATTCAAGAACATGGAATGAAAATGATCGCTAAAAGAGTTCGATCATATTCCAGATCAGAGTTTAAATGTGCAAAGAAACCCCCTCTGTCTATGAAGATGGCCAAGAGAGGCAAAGATTACCCGAACTATAACACACGAAATACAGCAGTCGCAAACGTGAAACCCAAGATAGAACAAGTAAGACACACTTAGTCGTAGAATTTCCGGTTCTGGTTCTTGCCGAAGAGCGTCTCTCGGACTGCAGGGAGAGCATCAATTTCCAGCAGGCGCAGACGCTCCTCAAAAGTGTTGTTGATCTCGATCTTGCCTTGCCCGCCGACAATAAACACACCACCAGCACTGCAACCTAGTTAGTCTCCTTGGCGTATACTGGGAGGGGGAGTGAATAAACTCACGATCCCTCTGGCAACGGCTCCGACTCGTCCAAGGTCACGGTCACCTCCGAGCCAACATTATCCTTGTACTCCTTAGTCGCTTCCTCAATAGCCTTCTTGGTAACATCGAAGTCCTTCTTCCGCGAGCGAATTGCAACGTTATCCTCGTTCAGATAATACAGGCCCTCGAGGACCAGCCCCTTGAGCATGGCCTGGTACTTCTTCTCATCGTCGGCAGCCACCTTGGAAACCTTCTCACGGGCATTCTGGAACAGCTCATCGAGCAGCTCCTGACGGCCACCGAGCACGCGGAGTCGGGTCTTGTTGGCGAGTGTGGACCGGGTGATCTGCTGGGACATGGCGGCCTGCTTGAACTTCTTCTCGTAGAGGGTATCGATAGCCGCAGTTTCCTGGCGCACCAGCTTGGACTTTTCGATCGCAAATTCTTCGTCGGCCTTCAACTGGATCTCTCGGGCCTTCTCAAGGGCTTCCTGCTTGATGAAGGCGGTCATCTTGCGGAGCTCGCCCGCGACCTGGATTCGATGGCCATCAGTCCAACTCAACCTTCCCAAGACCTAGAGTAAACGGCGAACATACCTGATCATCTGAAAGAGCATGGCTTTGTGACATTTTGGCGGTTCAGTGCTGTATAGCTTGCTGGGGGCGGAATGACGTGGGGAAGAGGGAAAGGATGTTGTGTCCAACTAAGCTCGGATTGCGTTGCCTTGGCGTTCCGCATCCAGATCCTCCGCACTCCCCTCGACAACTTACCATTTCAGCGTGATCCTGTCATTCCCTATTGTTTTATCTGAGTTATGGCTTATTTACTCCGGTAGTTTCTTCCACTTGATGCGCCTCTCCCAACGGTCCTTCGACCCTACCAATGCACGATACACAACATGGGCAATCTAGGTGACTTGTCGCCGGAGGGAAGTGTTGCGGTAAGATCATGGAAATCACGATATACTGCAAGACAAGATCAAAAACTAATGCAGACATCAGGTTGGTGTCATCGTTGGCCTGATCTCAACTAGCCTTCAGGCTATCGGGCTGACGCTTCAGCGCAAGTCCCATTTGCTCGAGGACGAGAAACACCCCTACGATGTGCGCAGACCCCCTTACAAGCGCCGACGATGGCAAGTAGGTATGGGGATGTTTGTGATTTCTAATATTGTTGGGAGTACTATCCAAATCACCACACTCCCACTACCAGTTCTCTCGGCGCTCCAAGCGGTCAGTAGTTCCCCCTCCATGCACGGCGGAGATCAGTTGCTGATAGGAATGCCGAATAGTCCGGGCTAGTGTTCAATACTATATTTGCGACCCTCATCCTCGGTGAACCCTTTACCCGATATTCTCTTGCAGGCACGATTCTCGTCTGCATCGGCGCGTTGTTGATTGCGACCTTCGGCGCCATCGGGGAACCCGCACATACATTAGATCAGCTCCTGGAGCTCCTCCAGCGACGACCCTTTCTTCTCTGGATGGGTACCACCACCCTGCTTGTTGTTGTGGTACTTGTAGGTATCAAAATGCTGGAACGCTTCCTGCCGTCCTCGCGCGCGAAACCCTCGGCCTCCGGTCATTTTTCGCCACATTTGCTGCGACTGCAAAGCCGAATGAGGTTGATCCGGGGCATGAGTTATGGATTTGTCAGTGGGATATTGTCCGCTCACTCTCTTTTACTAGCAAAGTCGGCAGTGGAGCTTCTCGTGCGCACAGTGGTAGACCGTGTGAACCAGTTCAATCGTTGGCAATCATGGGTTATTCTACTAGGGATGATCTTCCTAGCGCTCACACAGCTGTTCTATCTTCATCGTGGGCTAAAGCTGTGTAGTACTAGTGTGCTATATCCTTTTGTGTTCTGCATCTACAACATCATTGCCATCATGGACGGCCTGATCTACTTCCGGCAAGTGTCTCAACTGGCGGGCTTCCACGCCGGTCTCATCGCTCTAGGAACAATGGTTCTCCTGGGTGGTGTTTTGTGCCTGTCCTGGCGACTTGAGGATATTGATACTCACGCCGCTGTCACCACCGTGGGTTCCACGCAGACTGGACTTGGGCCGGGTATGGCAATCGTGGAGGAGCACTCTCCGACATCATCTGGGTTGCTGCATGGCCAGGATGAGGAACCACTGATTGGAGAATGCGCGCCACTTCTGAACCCGAAGACCCATACTCGACATCTTTCATATCAGCGGGGAAGAGCTCCAAGCTTACCACCCGATTTACATTTTGATCGTGACTCTGCCGATCTAAATCCCGCATCCATTTGGGCTGAACTCGATGATTCGGACTATGAGTCCACTGAGGGACAGAGACGATCATCGAAAGATCGCCTACGCAGCGTCAGTGGCAGCGCAACTTTAAACGGTCCGTTGCGGGGTTTGACACGACACTCGACGATCGGCGCTACGGCACATGATCGCGAAAGGGTATCTCGCCGAGTCCAGGGATCACTGCATGAGAACCCATGGCGTCGCACCTCAGCAGCTCAGGGTGGGTTATCCGCCGCCCATCGTAAACGGCGGGCGACGGAAGATCCGTTTACATCGTCGTCTAACCAAGAAGTCGGTGGGTACGGAACCATCCAAGATGATGGCGATGATAACCACTGGCAGGACGACGTCCCTGCCCTTCATGCGTCTGGCACCAGGTTTAGTCTTCTGTTGGGCTCAAGGAAGGCTCTGGCAGATGCCTGGATGTTTGGGAGACAATATCTCTCTCGATGGAGCAGCCCGCGGGCGGGCGGTCAAGTTGAGATTGACCCGGAAGATGGCTCTTCCTCGTCCCTACTCCCACACTCTAACATCCGCCTTCCACGAACGCGTTATACACAGGGAAACCCGGTTCCTGAGTCTGACACCCTTCAGCCATCGTCATCCCCATGACACTTTTACATACTCTTTCCTATACTCTTTCCCCAACGACCTCCACATAACACCTAAATTTGCTCCGACCCGTCAATTCCCTACCCGCAGGACACTGCCACTCAAGATTTTTCTTTGCTTCTCGCCTTGTCAATGCCCATGTACAGTAGTCTCTCTTCCTTGGACATACCACGCGCAACCCACTCGTGTTGCTTCCGTCGCTCCTAGCTCCCGGTCGAGAAACGACCAATCCCAATCTCCCTTTTGTGTCCTGCGATCTACTGTCAAGATACTATGATATGATACCACTCGATCGATTATATAGCTCTGCACGAATGAATACAAGACCTTGATATAATGTACCCATGCTCTATATATAATCTCAACTACACACCATAGGAAATATTAATTACCCAACTACCTAGCCCTGGAGTATGTACTCCGTTATGATAATAATACAAAAGCCCTAAGCAAACAGTCAGTGTCTGCCGAAAGTTCATTTAGTGTGGCATTGACCTCTGATATGCAGGTCAGCGAACTTACGCTCTCTCCATGCATGCCAAGGTATACATCTCTTCAGTTTGGAAGTAAACCAGTCACATTTAGAATAAGGTACTAGTAGTCGTGCAGAATATAAAAATAAATTGAATATCATTGAACGTGGAAAGTTAGGAACATATATCTGATAAATCGTTTAGTAACCCTAACATTTCCAGATTGTTCAAGCTGGACTTTGAATATCTCGAACGTCTAGAGAAACGTGCTTCGAGACTACATAGCTTAATAAATACACAGAAAGCGAGAATATGCCTTGTTAGTGGATTTGCTGTCCCCTCAAGCTGTACATCGTAGTAGGATCTCATGCACTAAGTAGGTACGTGGATATAGTTCAGAACCCAAGTCTACTACTCATAGACCATCACGACTACAGGCAACAAGACAGTCCGAAGGAACAGAATCCGATTGCTCCATACCATACATAATGTAACCCAGCCAGAGCCATAGCGGCGAATCAAATGGCATTGAGAATCCGTCATAACCAAGACAGACCCCCACGGCGTGGAATCAACAGAAACAATTAACACACAGTTTGAGATTAGACAATGAGGAAAATAACATAATCAGTGGCCAAGGAAATAGTTAAAAGACTAAAAAAGCAAAAAAAGACTACAGAGGAAAAGCCACTTCGCCGAAGAGTTTCAATGCACCACGAACACCTCCATCCTCCGCCATTGTCTAGGTAGAGGGGGGAAAACAAAAGCCAAATTAGTGATGAAGCCCAGATTTGCCTGCTTGCGCTCTCTTTCTCTTTTCTTGAAGTTGGTTTCGTTTGTGACGGTCATTTTTTTTGGGTAAGTTTTTTTTGGGGGTTATTGGAAAGCCATAGTTCTCAACAAATCGGGGTTCTCCTTTTTTTTCCGAGATAGAAAGCAACATCAAAAGGAAAAAAACCAGATCCAGTATCATCAAAGAGAGACCGGAAGGGGATTCCAGCGCGGTGCTTGACAATTTACAAATAGTCTCACGAGAGTGCCCTGGAGAATGGCGCATGCAGATACAGCGCGACCATTTCCGAGGGAAGAGTGGGATGATGGATCGGCAGAGGGAGACGGGTATCAAATGAACGCGAGATCGAGGCGCAGGGAGGAAAGAACAGAGAAGAAGACGCAGCATCGGGGACCTTGAGTAAGAAGGACCCCACAGATCAGATCATAATTTAAGCCATTTAAGCAGTGGGTTGGTGCTGGGGTGGCATGCGACCGCCGACCGGCATGGGGTACTGACCACCAGCCTGCTGTTGCTGCTGCTGGAGGTTCTGGTAGTACGCCATCTGCTGCTGTTGCTCGTTGGTCATGTAGCCAGGGTGAATACCAGGACGCATATTCCCCTGGGGCGCGTTGACGTTGTTGTGAGCCACATCTTCGGGGGCCTCGGGGGCGACATCGGGGGCGTCGACACCATTCTCACTGGCGGCTGGGTCGGGAGCGTTCAGACATGCCTGTCAGTGTGTTAATGGTTGGATGAAAGAGAATCATTGAAGCAGACCGTAGCTTACCTGAATCAGGTTCTTGCCCTCGGCCTTGGTGACCAGCGGCTGAAGTTTGGGGGTAGTAAAGGTGTAGACAAGGCCGGTTTCGGAGACGACCAGCAGGAGAACTTGAGTGCCAGTCAAGACAGAGAGTTCATAAGCCTATATGAAACCATTATGGTTAGCAAAAGTGTCAATCGATCAAATGATAAGAGGAAGGACCCTCGATCAGGAAACTGATGCGGAGGGGGCCTCGGGACGCGACGCACCTTCTTCATGATACCGGCCTTCCGCTTGGAGAAAGTAATATGCCGACGCGACTTATCCTGAATAAACTTGATCTCGATCTTGCGACGCTCACGGCCGGGCTTGTCATCATCATCATCTTCATCATCGGCGCTCATGCGGTTGCGCTTGGTGCCACGGGCATCGGCGCCGTTGCCGGGAAGGTCATCATGACCGGGAGAAAGCTTTTCGTCTAGAACCGCAGACATATTGACAATAAAGAAGAACAAAAGAGTTTTAATATTGGGGGGGTGGTAGTTATGACTTGAGGGGGGGATACCGAAAGGGGAAAGCAAGAGATGACCCAATCGAGTAACGCGTTTATGGGATGTGAGAGAAAGGGAATGGGGGAATCGATGGGGGGGGAGAGCGAAGAAGGCAAAGTGCGAGTTGCGATGGGCAGGCGGTCTGTTACGTAAATCACGTGTAGAAGGTGTATTAGTACAGTCTGTAAGGTGAGATAAGTTAGGGTACTTCATATACTAGTAGAATTAATATCGGTCAAAAAGTACTTCTACCTTTACGACAGTATTGACTTGTAATTGAGTTGTATTCGCCTCCTTTGGGCCAGACACGGTTCTTGGCTTTGATCGCTCATTGGCTGGTCCCACCTTCGGTCCCCCCGTTCGTCCTTTTTTGCCCTTTTCCCCTCTGGTCTGGACTTTCCCTTTGTTGCCGATTCCAGGAATATTGCTGATTTCTCAGGCTTGTGTTATTTCTCTTGATTTTAATTTCAAGAAATACGGAAAAATAAAATAAAAATTATATATAATGTGCATTTCTATACTTAGTACTCCATTCTCTCTTACATGCTTTGACGGGGCAGAATTTCCCGCCGCTATATGATTGGCTACTCCATCTTTAAACATGCCTATGATCATCCCTTATTTTCTATCAAGACCCTATGTTGTATATATCATAGAAACATCCTATTTCGAGGTTACATCTACAAAGTCGAATATAAAAATAAGAATAAAACCGAGCTCGCATCACACAAGCGCGGGTCGCACCTGCTTTGGGGCACGGAATAATGGCCCTGTACACAACATACTCACATGGCTGCAGTCAAGAGTATCTCGTAAATAGCTCCAAAGGCCATCCCCCTTGTCGTCACTCTCTTATCTTTCCTATAGCCATTCCCATTCCTTTCTGATTGCAACCACAAGAACCAACCTCACATTCATCATTGCACAGCAAAGTATGAAGTACAAGGAAAGCCACAGTCTCGACACAATAACCCCCAGGTATCTTACATCCCCTTACTCCGTACATACACATGCATGCCTTGCATGGAACTCGTAGAGCATCTAGACATATCTTGGTGTCTCACAGACGTACTCCATATATTTACCAGGATTCACACCAATTAGAGTGACTCGGTTAGTAGGTCTGTAGCAAGTCAGGGCTTGTTCCCTGCTTCTTCTATTATTACTCCTATTATTATTCCCACATTTCCGAAGTGCAATTCTACCATTTCTTCTCACTAGTTGAAGCATAGAGATAGAGTCACAACATTCATTGCCGCTCACACTCAGGTGGCTACCACGCGGAGTTACCAAATGGTGACGGGGGTTCCTTAAGTTCCCTATTACATCGGGAGCTCGAGTGCAAAAATCGACCGCCGTGGACTGTTTGTGTAAAGAAAATAACGCATCCCACCAAGCCCACATAGCAACAATAAGCAACCAAAGCCGATCAACGGGCCGATCCGAGAAGCCCTAGACCCGATGCAGTACAGTCCATCCAGGATTCCTTCCTGCATATGGAATAGCTACAGAATACCCTACACAACACCGAATTCACGAAAACTGATCATATTCTTCACATAACGAACAAAAGTTCAACGCTAATCACCAACGGAGACCCCAAAATGGATCTGCTGTCAAGTCTATTTTTACAAAAAGTATGCAAGGCATAGGGCAAAAAGTGGCTTTTCTCCAAAGCGCACTTAAGAGCACGGAAGACATGGAGAAAAAAAAAAAGAAGGAAACAAGCAAAGATAAGAGAAAGGCCAAACCGATTAGGCGTGGCAAGTCTCGGCCAGGGCCCTGCATGGGTTCAAGGATTGGGAAGAAGACGGTAAAAAAAAAGCCACTGAACATTTCAAAAATTGGAATACACCGTCAGGATTCAGGATATAGAGGGAGCATGCAAAGCCACCAGGTTCCTGAACCGTACTGGACTCCGCCAATGCAACGCCGGATAAATGAAACAGAAACTGGAGGACGCGGAGGGCAAGTCACGATCACGAGTCTCATCCGGAAAAAAAAGGGGCTGTTGGGTTGGTCGACTTGTAATCATATTGGGCTGGTGTCGTGAGGTCGGAAAAAAAGGAGCAAAAGGATGATGTGTAATATTTTAGAAAATAAAGAGCCGAATCATGTGCAACGAAGTGAAGAGGTACGAACAACAGTCCCAAGGACCAGCCTCAAGTAGTAGCAGTGCAATTTTATTGCTGGTAAGTGCCGCGAAGATAATGGTCACTCACACCACCGCCACCGCCGCCCTTGGGACCGAGCCAGACGATTTCAATTACGCTGTGGCCCTCATCTTCTTCGCGAACATAGAATTGGTGCACGTTCTCACCAACCACGAATGCATCGCGGAGCAACCACCGATCCTTAGCAACACCGTCTTCCTCTGCGGGACGCAGGGGACCCAAGCGGTCTTCATAGCCGCGGGGGTCTTCGGGCCAGGTCTTTTCGGTAGCATCGAAGTTGATAGCATCATCCGGCACATGCTCGCCGTATGTGTACTTCACCAGCGAGTAGCCGTTCGTCATGACCCAGAAATGACGGAGAGTCTCGCCAGTAGCGCTGTTCACAGTTTCCTCTTGATCAAAGACCCAGCGACGGAGAACAGACTTGCGGCCTGCGGCAGCAGCAACGGTGGTCATCTTGACCACATCCTTGCTGTACCAGCTGTTCCAGTGGTGCATGGATTCGATCTTGCGACCGGACTCGTAAACACCGTCCACGGGGTCTGCCATGTCCATCTGGTAGAGCGAAGGCCACAGGGTAAGGGGGGTGTCACCGAAGCGCTGGATACACTGGCCAAGCTTCTGGTCACCGGGCTGCTCGCCCCAGGACTGGCACTCGTCATAGTGCTTCATCAGGACATCCAAAAGAGGCTTCGAGACAAACACACCGGCACCACCGAAAGCAATGTGGCCGAAAGTATCCACCTGCCAGCTGGCCTCAGACAAAGATCCAATGTAGTGCTTCTTGCTCTCATCAAAGAGCTTCAGCTCCTCGGCGATAGTGGGGAGCGATAGGAAGAAGGTATCGTCGTCACTGAATCCAACCCAGGTAGTGTGCGGACGGTGCTTGCGAATGTGTTCGGTGAATGCCTCGACCATACCGAAGTAACGGGCAGTGAAGTCGAGGGGAGAGGCCTTGAGAGTCAAGTCCAGACCGCGGTTGCGGAAGTAGGTCTCTTGCTTCTCCAGGTCGTCGTCAGACTCAGGGACCAGAACAATCAAACCGGCCTTGGTGTTTCCGTAGGAGTAAAGCAGGGAGGGGAGTAGGCGGTCCAGACGGTCGACGGTAGTGGCTAGACCAAACAGAAGCTTGGATGTCTCCTCGACATCGTCATCGGCGGCCACATCGACATCGATGATCTCAGGGCAGACAAAGTTTTCCGGCTTGTTCTCGGGAGACACGACCATACCGCGCTCCATGACAACCATAGGCGGGAGCACAGGCTTTTCGATTTCCTCTAAAGTGTGGAATTCGGTGCGAGGGTTCACATGACGAGGACGGAAATAAGCGCGAGTGTAGTTCTTGCGTGGGAGCCATTCAGGGAAGGGTAGGGGGGCGGCCAATTTCGGATCAGCCTCACAGGTGTTGCTAGTCGGCTGCTGCGAATCAGATTGTGCCGGCGTTTGTGCTTGAGGATGTTTGTTTCCACCGAAGGAGGCCCGATCAATTGGGTGCTTGAAACGAAGGAAAGCTGAGCGGTCGTAGCGTTCCATGCAAAAGAAGAATATTCCGATGGTCACTAGAGCGACCAACGGAAATACCGTCTTGATCCGAAATAGCGGCATTTTGGCTTTCCCAGTGTTAAATGATGACTTTTCAAACATGTAAATAGAAGAAGCGAGACGAAATCGGGGTAGATGAACCCTGGAATTAAAAGTTACGGGTTCGGCGTGTGAGGTGTCGTTTCCCGGAAATAGCGTGCAGCAAAAGCCGGTAGCAAGACCCAATTCCAACTTGAGGGAAGAGTCAAATAAACGAGTGTTCCAAGAGTGGATTAAAGAGTGACAGGCAAATAAAGTGCCGAGATATTTCAACGAGAGGCTGGCAGCGTCGGGACCTGCGACACGGTCTAAAGGGGGGAGCGTTTGTCAAGGGGGAAGGTATGAGGGTTGGAAGAGAATATAGAGGCAAGACTAACGCGGCTGGACGATGTGCCCAGTCCGAGTGAAAAGTCGATGAGAGCTTGGAGTATTGTGTCGTGAAGGTGTTGTAGGAGGAAAGAAAAAGGGAGACCGCCGAAGCAATTAACAGGACAGGGTTAGCTGTGTATGGGTATTACCGTAATATATCATTTAGGCCCTTTTTTTAAACTTCTTTTTACTTCTTTTTTCTATCCGTTTTCTACATCGATGTACATGCGTACATAATTGACGTTCGCACCACCGGTTTTCATTTGATATGCTGTCTTCAGTGATATCAGAACATATTGTAGCTGGATAAATATTGCATCTTGGTATTCATCCCCCGGTTGCGGTGTTGATGCCAAGTTGGGATGCAGGAACGGGGGTCTTCGACAGGACCATCTCAAATGAAATATGGCTTATCCTTTGTTTCCCTTTGCTTCATCTTACCTGTTGACTTTAAGTGTTGATCATGACGAAAAAAGGAATGCTCTTGGCTGGGGGGTGCTCATCCCCTCCCAGATTTAGTGGAATACTCCGCCATGAAACTGATGATCGGCATTGGTGTTTTTTTTTTCCCGTTTCCCTTTTCCCTGTCTCGAGCACAACAATAATGTTTTTGTCTAACCCGGGCACAGGTGTGGTTGTCCACGTCAGAAATGGTCATCTGGCCCTTGGTACTCTAAAATAAGCATGTTTCAAGTATCTTCAAGATCGAGAAGACCGTTTGCAGCGACACATATTTGGATGCAGGCTCGCGTGAAGATGCCGATCCGCTGTTTGGGCATAAATGAATGGTATGATAGGCCAGAAAATCAGTCTAGTTATAACCCCGATTACCCTCTCCCTAGCGTTTCTATCTGTATGTTGTACGGAATAACTGAGTACTCCGTACTTGTATCTGCATATAGATATTACTATGTATAGATATGTTATGTATCCGAATTCGTCGGCGTATTGCACCTGGCTAACTGCACCTAGCTGACTGCGCCTGTCTGAGCCTCAACCACTTAGCAATCTCGGACAATATAAGCGACCAAAAACATCCGTTCCCATCCCGAGATCCCATCATGATGTGAATATAATAACGTACATACAACAGGAGATCACGTCACTGTTATCAAGTTGGCGCTTGGGCCATCAAGTAAAGTGTGGGACCTTGGAAAAGGTTTGGGTAAAAAGTTGTACGGAGCACTAGTTATGAACGATGACCCTGGATAGAGTACGGAGACTCCGTACGGAGTAGCCAGTATCAACATAACCATAACGGAAAGGACAGATGTACAACAATTGTGCTCTTAGAGGCAAAGAGAGCGGAAATGATCAAAGACGATCGCCCTGGCACCCAGCCGCGTCAACCAGTCAAAATTAGCCGGAGGGGCAAATGAGGCCAACGCCCCCCCACCGACACGCGTCCTTATTGACGACGTCCTACCATCTGTAATGCCGGGATTGGTATCCCATATGTAATATGTAATGTACAGGTGGATATTCAACTAATCTACAACATTTCATGAGACATTCCTATAACTCGAGGCTGCTCCGCAATTTGCACAGATATCTTTACATCAGACGAGAAGTTCCTGTGGAGAAAAAAAAGGGGACCCTGAAATGAAGCTTATCGGGTCACGTATTTTAAGTGGCGATAGCATTTCCTCGCCCATGGATTTCCTCACAGCCAGGTGGGCCGGGATCGACAACATTTAAAATGGTCTCTCGGTAATCTCTGTTTTGATCTTGTTTCATCATTCTATATATGATGTATATTATATAATGTACGGGGGATATATGAATTTGATTGAAGGTTCCCGGAGACTATACACTGTCTCAGTTACAATGTGCGGAGTACATCAATGTATATACGGGAGTACTTGGTACATCGACGTACTCCGTACAATAGTGAAGGTACCTGAACTGTGGAGAATCATCCACTTCTGTCTAGGCCTATAGCCATGGCATTTACTACGGTACGAATAGTTACGTACTAATAAGGGCACGCGTCTTGTCAGGGTTGCTTATACAAGCCTCCAAGGGGAACCTAGGTACTCCTATCATACCTCTTTACATGTGTGCCCAGTGTATCAGATTAAAAAAGCCATGTCAGCACTTACGAATCCCCTGGGGCATAACTAACACAATGTGGTTGCACGAAACAACTGCTTACATAATGCAAAATATACCGGTCATTTCGATAGCATTTTAAGCTTGAATGGTCGTCTTGGCGTTGCTGTCACAGCGTCAAAAAGGGGGATTCTGTGCCCAAGGGTCTTACCATAGTCTGTGCTGTAAAAAGAGCATTTAGTGCTTTTTTTTTGCGTCGAGTTTTGCCATATTGGGTTTGGTAATACGCCTCTGATATTTTCCTTCATATTATATGTATACAAAGTAGAAGGGACCTTCTACCATCCATCTAAATATTCGAGATCCCTGGGTCACGTCTAGACTCATTTCCGAGCACAATGCTCATCATCACAATATATGTATCTTACCGCCACTGGAACCTACTGAATCCTCAAGTGCCTGGGAATTTTGCCACCTGAATAGCATAGTTCTTCCAATGTTCTATAATTGTAAAATAGAATGTTCGTGGCCAATAAGTTACTTCTAAGCTCAGAACGGCCCACATCCAAGGCTTTCTAGAAGGTACCTAGGTATAAATTGGCCTGTACGAGGATTCGGTTTCATCTGATTCTTCAGATAACTCGCAAGATAACAGTCACTGTTTCTTCCTCGCCTAGTTCCCGCGCTAGATCCAGAGCACTTTGACCATCGTTGTTTACCAAGCTGGAATCCATGCCGGCTTTACGTAACTCCTTGATCGTTTCATCGGCCATCTCTTCAGGCCCACTCAGCACTGCTAGGTGCAATGCTGTATTGCCATCATTATTCTTTGCAATAAAATCCGTCAGGCCACCCGCCGCCAGCATATGGACTCCCCATGAAAATCCGGCTCGTGCAGCCATATGTAGAGGCGTTTCACCGTTGCTGTCTTTCGAATCAGGATCAGAGCCGGCTTCAAGCAGGATCTCAAACGCATCTTCGGCAACGTCACAGAAAGGAGCACATGCCATGTGAAGTGGAGTTTGACCAAATGAATCTCTCGACATGGGGTCAGCTCCTCGATTGAGGAGGAGTCTGATTGTCCGCTCACAGTTCTGGAATGCTGCTTGATGCAGCACAGTGCGACCAAGAGAGTCTCTAGAATCCACCTTCGATTCCCCTTCTAGGAGCCATTCCACTACATTTTCGCAATCGTGAGACTCACCGCCATCCCAGTCACCAGGGTACCGGTTGTATCGCCATCTGTTTTGGTGACGAATTGTGTAGCCGTCCGCCCAGTCAACGATGTGCGACGGCAGAAGTGCGTACTCTCTAGCATGACCATACTCCAGTCTGCATAGTATTCGCAGCGTCAGAGCCAGTGATAGCGCCCACCTCGAGAAAGTTCTGCACGGTTTTCGATCGCTCGTTTTCCACGGCCCAGAGGAACCCAAGTTTGTCGGCCTTTATAGTAGCATAGATATAGAGTTGCTGGTTGAGCACGGCATAGCAACGATGATTTGTTTGGGCAAAAGCATTGATGTCATTCAATTACCTCAAATGGTCTACAATGGCTATCAGGATTTCGTTTGGCAAGCCAAGGAGAGCCATGATATTATGAAAGCCACGACTGCGAGCTGTCGAATTGAAACGGAAGTGACAGGATAAAATTAGCAGATATTGAAATTGGAGGGGCTAAAAGCTGCCAAGGCTGGCCATCTTAATCCCTGTGTTCAAGCAGTAGCTTGCCGATGGAAGTTGTAATTTGAGAGAATTTATTTTTAATCATTGAGATACTTGATATATAAACGAGAGCGAAATTTCAATGAATACTATATAATAACTATCGAGGAAAAAGAACGGCGGTCAAAGACACCATCACTTCGCAAGTCTTCCATGACTCTTCATCATAGCAGTCGACCCTTTGGCGCATTGATCGGCATCCTGGTTGTTAAATAGGCGCATTGATCTTCGGAAAGGTAGTGATGCACAATGAATGATCTCCGTGGAGAAAAAGTAAGGAGAGAAAAAGAAGGAGCGAACAACCTACTACAGGTGCTATCTCCATGATGGGCCTGGAGCTACCAAACAAAGTCGTCAAGCAGATAATGGACTTTTTTCCTACATACATATGTATGTAATCTTTGATTGGTCATACTTGATGCTGCAAAGAACATCCACCTTCACACTCAGCCCACCACCACCGGGATTTCCTCGCCAGGATTAAGCCAGCAAACCTTATGCGACACCTTTTCCTCGTCAAAGACCACCGCCAGATCCGCTTTATGCTCAGTGAAATGTTCCCATGACTCAAAGTGGATAGGAACCATTCGATCAACATTTAGCACGCGCATCAAATGAGCAGCTTGCTTACCATCGAGAGTAATTTGCAGAATACCGTTAGGGTGCTCGAAAAGCGCATTTCCTAGATTCAAGACTGCAACGGAAACATGCCACTTGTTCTTGATCTGCGCCAACTCATCGATCCACACGGTATCTCCAGAGAAGTACACCACATTGGGTAGACCGGCCTCGTTAATGCCGAAGGTGTCGCACTCGACAATGAATCCCGTCACCTCTCCACCGGGGAAGTGCTTGCATGGGGTGCCGGTAATGCGGAAGTCTTTGCCTCCAAGTCTTGCGGAGACGGTTTGCCAAGGGCGAAGGCCGATGACGCCAGGGCGTGGCTGGAGGTTGTGCGCGCCATCAGGTGTGGTGAAGACATGGCGGCCGTCGAGTAACTGGCGGCCCAGAGGATCGAGATTGTCGATGTGGTCTTCGTGGCTCAGCAAGACCGCATCGATGGGTGGGATGTCGTGCAATTCGAGGGCTGGCCCTTCGAAGCTGCGTAGAGTCGTTGCTGGAGGCTGACCCTTGAAGCCGAACTCCACAAGGTTGGAGGCCTTGGACCAGCCGTCGTAGATGTATTCAGAGCCCGCAGGACAGAATACAGGATCGGTGAGGAACCGCACACCGTCAATGTTGATGATCGCCGTGGCAGTCGTGATGTGGGTGATGGAAACATTGCCTTTGAATGTGGACATAACGCCGTTTGATTGATGGGGGGTTTTTGTTTACTTAGAGAGATTGAATTGATACAATGAATAACTGGAAAATGGTGATGTAAAATGTAGAACAGCAGTGTTTTTGGAGACTTATATAGTTTGCCATTCCTGGACCCATTCTTGATCCCACCATGGAGGACATGACAAACCGTCACATATGTGTCAACTCCTTCAAGTACATCCTTGATGATAAATGAACAGTGGAGAGCAATGTAAAACATCAATATAAAGCCTTCGCATCAACAATAGGTTTGAAATACAGCGCTCCAAGGCTCATCTTTCACAGTCATCATCCCAATATTTCACAATTCATCCCACCCAATCCCACCCAATCCCACCGCGTAATAATGGATCCCACGAGTGTTTCAAATCATCGATACTTGCTGTCATCCCTCGGCAACAACTTGACTTATTGACGAGCATTTCAATGTCAGCCAGGCATACTCGAATTGGAGAGGTTTCGGTAGTCCATGTGCCTGAAAAGATTAATGAAAATGTTAGATATCTTATATCTTGCGGAAGAACTTAAAATATCTTTATTTAGATTGTTTCGTGATTCACATTGTTTATGGCTAGCTAAAACATATTATTAAGTTGGTGCTTTAAAGATTTTAGGACGAATAACCCTTCTAAGTGATAGGATGTTGGATAACATGTGTTTTACTGAAACCATAACTGAAAAAAGGGCTGCAAATCCTCTAATCTAGCTGAGTATTCTGGAATTCTAAAAAAAACATATAATTATACAAAATAATACCTAGAGTAGAGATTAGGTATCTAGTAGGCTATATTTTAAAAGGCCTACATAAGATTTAGTGTCTAATAATCATGGAAGTTTGAACTTGCTAGTACACGGGAGAATCCGCTGGTTTTGTGAGAGATATTGGGGATGCTGTCGAGGCCATACGTGAGTGGGCCGGTGGGCTTTCTTTGGCCTGGGCAGCCCACCGGGCCCTTAATGCAATAAATGTGGAACTAGGTCAAATGAATGATCAGAGGAGGAAATCGAATTATCATCACTAACCTGGGTGGTATGAATAATCAGATCAATAAGTCTCCGGAACTGCAAAGGCTACATTGCGAGGGCAGCTTGACCGTCTCTTACATTTTACCCTGGGGCCTTAATGTTTGGTTAATGCCATGGTAATCATAAACCCCTCCTTGATTACTTGTTATGTTGAAGGTACTGATATTGAAGCTACCAAATCTCCCTGGCATTCTAATGATGATTAAGCTCATGATAGCCCCGGGGTATAAAAATCCGGGCAATGATGACCTGTCTCTAATTGGTTACATGCAGGATCGGCACCCACTCGGTCCCCGGGTTCCCCGACATACCAAACACCGTTCAAGGCTGAACTATGAATCATCATATATGAATCATCAACATAGTGTGAATTATTTTTAGCCTTGGACCAGGGGGATAGCACCATCGAAATTGACTCTCAAGTTCTCAAAAAGCTGCTTTGATCCGTGTTCTTGAACTTCTATTTTCTGCTTCGTCTAAACGATTTGAATTGGTGACAACCTTTATCAATCTCAATTGGATTTTTCTTCTTGCCGACCGCTCAAAAAAATCAATATCTCGGAAACTGACTTAAACTCATCTTGGCATGATGTCGCCACGAGACAATCAGAACGAGGTCTTATCTGGCGGCAACGAGGCCAACATCAATGGGATATCAGAGCCACCGGAACGTAATAATGCAGATTATTACACAAACCAGTCGAAACATAACGGTGGCTGGCGGCATCTCGTGCGGAATTTCACACCGGCGTAGGTGTCTCGAGTGTAGGTTGTCGACTTTTGCTAACTCTTCGTGCTTAAGTTGGTTCTCGGTCAATATGGGCACCGGGATCACTTCTATTCTGCTCCACACTTTACCCTATAATGGCAAATGGTTATACTGGATATCAGTGGCGATATTTTGTTTGAATATACTACTTTTCGTTATTTTCTTCAACATCACCATCTTGCGATATGTCCTCTACCCGAAGATATTCTACCTCATGGTGACCCATCCCACGCAATCCCTTTTCCTTGGAACTCTCCCTATGGGATTTGCCACCATAATCAATATGATTTGCTATGTCTGTATACCAGTCTGGGGAGACTGGGCTGCTTACTTTGCCTGGGCTCTGTGGGTTGCAGATGTTGTTGTATCTATTGTGACATGCTTCGGGATACCATTTATTATGTATGGACATGCAAATCCTTCTCTTTAAGGTGTTATCAAGACTGACTCGCGTTCCAGGATGACTCGGACGTCTGACAGCAAGCTACAGGCGATGGGTGCCGCTTGGCTGCTTCCCATTGTGTCTTGTGTCGTTGCAGCGGCATCGGGATCTATTGTGGCTGATCTACTCCCAGATCCTCAGTATGCTCTAGGAACTATCATCGTGAGTTATGTGTTATGGGGTATTGGAGTACCCCTGGCAATGATGATCATTGTCATTTATTTGATGCGCCTCATGCTATACAAACTACCACAGAAAGCAGTGATTGTTAGCACATTCTTGCCTCTCGGCCCTCTTGGCCAAGGGGGATTTGGGTGAGTACCTTTCGAATGACCGGTGTGTGCAAGTCTCGCACTAATACCTTATTTTTTTCTGCAAAGAATTCAAAAGTTGGGGGCGGCTGCACAAAAGGTTTTCCCACTTACAGGAACGTTGAGATCCGGATCAGGCAATACGTTATACGACATCGGCTTCCTAATGGGTCTTCTCTTGTGGTCATTTGGTTGTATATGGCTGTTCTTTGCAGTGGCAGCTATTATTCGGTCGAAGAAACTTCCATTCAACCTCGGATGGTGGGCATTCACCTTCCCGCTCGGCGTCTTTACAACTTGCACCAACCAACTGGGCCAAGAAATGCCGTCCAGGTTCTTCAGAGTTCTGGGAACAGTAAGCTATTCTCACGCAATTATTTCATTGTCAAATGGCTAAATCATCCTAGGTACTATCTGTTTGTGTTCTATTGCTCTGGATTTTGGTATCGCTCTTCACACTGAAGGGCATTTTCAATCGTAGTCTATTTGTGGCACCCTGTTTGGGTGACCTCCAGGAGTATGAGCCAAAGAGGTCCCAGGAAGCGAAGCATGGATCAAGGGCGTAGTCCAAAGGCCGCCAACTTGTTAATCTAGACTAAGAATCAGCTTCTGCATATGTTGGACATAGTTATGAATGGCGAGACTTTGAAGCTTAGTAGAGCAAGAGGTTGACACCAAACTAGACAAAGAGAACCCACACAAACCCACAAATGGTACTAGATTATAAGGCCATCTTGAATGTCAGCATTGATTTGAGCCACGTAGCACTGTAGATGCCTTTGGAAGTGATCATATGACACACATCACTCAACTTACAATTAGTTGGCCCCAAAAGCAGCACTGAACGCCTAAAATTAGAATCACCTTATCTACCTTTTAAATCCTTTTGGGGTCATTTACAAACAGATTACATATGCTCGGCTACAGATCCACATAAATTGATCTAGTTGAGGAAAGCTGGAAAACACTGCAAATTAAAAGCCCACGCCCGGTTATGCTATGCCTCTTACAGTCTTCCTCTCCTTCCACCTATAGAGGGTTATATATAGCACACAATATCAACGTATTGTACTTTATGCTGGTTGTGTAGGGTGTACCTAGGTATAGATGGGCTGTAGTCTTGGGACATCCGAGATTGCCCAGGTAGGTGCCCACCGGGCCGTCCGTCCCGGGTCCATCTAACCGGGGCCCTGGGGCTCATATGATGCGTCGGAGATATACAGATACAAATTAAGCTGAATGTCTTTATACTTCAGTACTTCATTGTTATATATGTGGGGTAGGCTTTGCATTAAGTCTCTAAAATTTCATGTAATTCTTTGCCATAGCTTCACCACGTACCCCCGTTTCCGCAAGCCACTTTTGCCACTTGTGGATTAGCCCTAGATCTCACATGGAGCCAGCGTTTTCTCTTTACTAACATTTACTAACACTACCCAAATGGATCCCCCCAACCAGACAAGCACAAGTGCAACTGCATCAGTTGCGTGTCTTAATTGTCGCGAGAAACATCTCAAATGTGATGGCAAGCCGGAGGGATGTGACCGGTGTCGCGCTCTGTCACTCTTTTGTCACTTCGTTCCATCACGTCGCGGGCGGAGAGGACAACCGAGTCAATTTCCGTGCCTCGATACGTGGTACATCCCGAGCGTTGAAGAAACTTCCTTTCTCCCTGATGCCTCATTATCCCTCATGGCTTCGAGCGACCTTTCTCCATCATACATGACAGAGTCTCCACAGGGTTTACCACAAATGAGAATCCATTTGATAAAAGTATTCTACGAGTACTTTTACCCTGCGCATCCAATACTCCCACCCTTTGATCTCTGGGTTATGTCTTCACCACCTCAGTATCTCGTGAACATCGTCGAGTTCATTGGATTGCATCATGTTTCGGCTGGTCAAACTCTTGAGTGCTCGAACGACCTTTGGACGGCCACCGACAACGCTGAATTGGCGTTGGAAAAAGTGCAAGCATATGTTCTTTTGAGTATCCTATTCCATGGCCGTAAAGCCCCCGAATGCGCAAAGAAATGCGCAGGTTTTGCTATTGACTGTAGCCTCAGGCTCGGACTCCATTGCCGAGAGCTCTCGGATACTGTGGAGGTGCAGAGCACCGCTCGTGCAGAGAGCATGAGGCGGACATTGTGGGAGAGTTTCATCGTGGACACTCTTCTCGCTGCTGTGCAAGTTGGAGGCACTTTACAATTCAGCATAGGAACGCCTGACGTGTCTCTTCCATCTGAGGATGAGAAGTTTGTGGGCGGTCACTCTGGGGTCTTCTCCATATCCGCGAAGGACCTAGGCCACCGGGCATTCTCTGATGATGATCGCATCTCAGCACTTGCTTATCGTGTCGAGGCGACATTCATTCTCCGACACTGCCTCATCGCCTGCGAGACACATGCTTCTGAAGACACGTTGGAAATACTAGACTCAATGATCTCGGCTTGGTTCCACCGATGGCCCAGCGACCGCAGCACTATTCTCCAGATGGATGGAAAAGTGAATCAAATTGATTTCCAGTCGGCTATGATCATGCATTGCGCCTCTATTTACCTTCATTTCTCGAAGTCCTTCCTAGTCTCCTTCCTCCCAAATACCGGCGAGGTGTTTTGTTCCAGACCTCCACCTATATCATCACCGTCGCCGAATCCACAAATGCACACAGCCAAAATTGTCAACGCAGCCGTCGAACTGTCCAAGCTCGCTTCCCTTTCTACGTCTGTGACGAGTAATTCTCCCTTTTTTGCTTGCACTCTCGTCCTTAGCTCTATCATTCAGGTGACTGTTTTGTCTGCCCCTATCGGGCAGCCATTCGGGAAGCATTACTCATATTTGGCGTTGAACATAGGTGTTCTCAAAACGATGGGCAGAATATGGAACATTGCAGCCTCTTCTGTGGAAAATCTCCGAGCCACCACACGCGAGGTTGAGACGGCCTCAGCAGAGGCAGGCTACGAACTCGTTGGATCTATGTTTATCCCTGTCCTCAAAAAGTGATCGCTTCCCTTCCCACGATAATTCCCTCACTTAGCTAGCAAAATACCATCACATTACCTCACTGTAAAAACCGCAAATATTTGAAGTCTATAATATTAGAAATCCCAACTTTGCTGGTGAAGTTACAAGCCTAGAGGCGATGCACCTGTGGACGCCGAGAATGCCGTGGATCCGACCCACTAGTCGGCGAACTTGGCATTGCTAGTACAGTGAGGGCATCCTTAAGTCGTATGGGTCTATGGGGCTGTCTGATTTGTGGAATGGCCTAATTGGCTTGCAATATAGAACCAATTTGGAGTCAGCTATATGAATCTCAACAGACTAGTCAGTCGTTCACTCCTGCATATTTACTTACCATTTGAAGTGCTCTAGGCGAATGAAATGACATCAACCAACCATCAGTCGAAATGTAACGTCTTGATCAATTATTAATTTATATCATATTAAGTCCGTAAAGCTGTTTCAAAAAAAGTGTATTCAAAGGAAACTATTTTTCTAGCTCCAATTCTACAAGCGGCGATGCAGGATTGTCTCAGGATATGGTGCAAGTTTCTATATTCACAGAGAGTCGGTTAGATTTGAAAATACTCTTAATACCAAGTCCACCCAAGGTCTGGGAGCAAAGCAACAGGGAAAAGCGTGGTTAGCCAATAAGAAGGTTATATTGATTTTTATTCCCAAGATTGGCCATCAATGTTCGTTCAATAAAATTACGCGCCTAAGGCACATGTGTGAGTGTATGGCGAAGGACCCTTCCCTCAATATGTGCAAGTCTCATTGAATGTAAGCACTAGACTGACGGACCCTGCTGCCGAGTATATAGAATATCCACGGTAAAAAGGCGAACGCGACTGCCAGAAACCCAAGCAAGCTCGTGGCCCAGGGGTAACCAAGATTCCTGTACACTAAGAATTGTATGAGAAAGATGCTCAAAGAAAAGCACACGGGCGACATACTTGGAATTGTGAACAAGGGAAATGAGCCACCGACGAGGTATCGCAGTAGCCCATTGGCTGCCAGCGCCGATGCTCCGTATTTGGCACCGTATACATTGGTCAAGTAAAGCATTGTCGAAACCTAGTAATGGCATCGTCAGGAAAGCTGTAGTAATCAATGCGAATGGGTAGCCAACTCACAAAAACCAGAATGTTTGAGAAACCAAACAGACCTGTCGCTACAATGCTACTAATCCAATGGATCCCTGGCCGGGCAGTCCACGCAAACCAGAACAATGAAGCCGCCATCAGAGGACCTCCTATCATTGCGCCCCACAGCATTCGCTCTGGTGGTGGTGCGACGTTCTTGCACTTGAAAAGATGTCGCTTCAGAGTATAAGAATCAAGGAGGATCAAAACTATACCTCCAAGAACGCATCCCACAGCGATTCCAATCAACACCAGCCCACTTTCTCCGGGCGTAAAGTTGTACGTGGTGCTGAAAATCAGCGGAATACATGCTAAAAAGCAAAACAGTATAGAGAAGTTCAGAGACGAGTAGAGTGAGCAAAGTGTCACAATAGGCTCGCGTATAAGCATGTATAGCGGCCTTACTAGTGTGACTGTGGCCACAAAACGGACTCCAGCTAGGCCAGTTGGGATAGGGGCCGGCGGTATGGGCAATCCAAGATTCTTAGCCTTGCGACGCATCACAGGACCCGCATAAGTCTCCTGGGCTCCCAGCGCGAATATCCAGACACCTGCACCAAGGAACAAGGTAGTCCACAGCGACCATTGCCAGCTTTTGTATTGGGCGATCCAGCCACCTACCAGTTCGCCAAGCGCTGGCCCCAGGAATGCAATAGTCATGATCAAGACCACGCCGCGATTTGTGTCTACCCCAGTCCACATGTCCATTATAGTCCCTGCACCAACAGCCAGCGGCGCAGAGATCGTGATACCGGCCAATAGCCGGCAGATGGCAAGAGCCGCAAGGTTCTTCGCAAAACTGCCGCCCAGAATAAACAGCAACGCGATCGGGGTCACAAAGACATAGATAAATTTTCGACCAAATGTTTCACTTAGCGGCGCCGAGACTGCTGGACCAAATGCGAGACCGTAGACGTATAGTGTGAAGGGGAGCAGGGCGAGAGTGGTGCTAGTGTGGAAATCCTCTTGGGCGCTTTCATGAGATGGCGAATAAATCGCCAGCCCGAATGATCTGTGAAATGCCTCTTATATCAGCAGGATCATCATATACATGACAGAATGCTTGCCTACATCAAAAAACATAGTAAGGCAGGCACAGCAGTGTTGTAAAGCTTTTTGGCTGTCGGCCAATTCTTTGCATTATCAGGATCATTGGCCCAGTCTGATACAATGGTATCAGTTCGCGACTGCTCCATTGGCTCGGACATTATATCCTGATTTTTTCAAAGGGGACCTTGGGCTTAATCGCAAGGTGATATGTGTAGCAATCTATACAAAGAGTATCAAAATATTTATGCGAGCCTACGGATCAGTCGGATATCTTTCGGAGTTAAAACACACCTTCATTGAGTCTACCTCACATCCCGTGATCGGCGATCTTTTTGAATTTATTTAGACCCTACGTTGTTGGGATGTATAGTAAATGAGACGGCTGAAATGCCGAAATCCAGCGTGTTGGGAGTGGCCCACTAATTCGGCGACCTCCTGGGGCCAATGCTTGGCCCGATCCCATTCTACAGGGGAACAACTTGACAGAAATCTGGTGTACGGACAATGTATAGTAGAAATGACCGATGTTGAGAACTCGAGTTAATCCCGAAATGTGCATACAAAAACCAAGCTCGTTGGAAATCAACTTGATCTTCTCGTCGTATATACATGTAGCCTTATGTTTCCCTCAGAATAGTGGAAAAAAAAAAAAAAAAGAAATTCAATCTTCTGAATTACAACAATGTCTAACCAGACTAGAAGGATGACGAGCGAATAGAATTATCAATCAGATCCGTGGTATAAACCCAGGTTTAGGGCGCAGCATAGTTTGCTGGGTCATGCTGGCAATGAGAATACCATTCTCGTCCCACACTTGCCCCTCACTAAAAGCCCTGGCATTGTTTGCAACAGCAGTTCGCTGTTCTGAGATATGCCAATTCTTTAGGGTAATTTGTGGCCTGAATATCCGTAGAGCAAAATCTAAAGTGGCACAAGCACTTGCATCTAGCAACTCGTACCCGCTATGACCCGCAGGGATGTACGCAAGACCTCGATCCATGTAGAAAGCAAGAGCGGACAGCTCTTCAGCCTGACTTTCTAGCGGACCACGCACTCGAAATCTTTCGCTGGATACCACTGACGGAGCGGTCTCTGGAATTCGATCTGTATCGCCTTGAAGGAAGATTGGTTGAACATCCGTGAATTTCTCGATATACTTGTAAAGGCCATACCCATGGGGCGCAGAATTCTTCGTATTGTCCGACACTGGAGTCACAGAACTGCTAGCTTGGGGGAGAACGCTGTATGCGACCATAGATGCAGGTTCCTCGACATGGAAATCGGCCGATGCGACGAGGCATGCTCTCATCGAACCATCATCCGCTTCCTGGCTGACTCTTACGACTCGCGTCTGGAAGCTCCTGGTATCCCGTACATTTTGCACCTCGCAAATCAATTTGCGGTCTGTTGTGGCAGGACGGAGGAAGTGCCCACAAATGGAATATAAGTGATGAAGATGTGAGACAGTCTGGTATGTAGAATTCACCGCAATTGCCAACAAATTCCCTCCGAATGCAGTCGATGAGAGCTTGCCCATTCGTGTCGGATTGACAACAGAGCGATAGCAGCCAGGCCGTATAGCTTTAACGCCAATTTGGCGGTTGAGGGTAATGTCGGAGACGTCCATTGGCTGTCTATGACATGTTTGAGGGCTTGAAACAACAATATAAACCAAATATGAATCTATCCATAATTTGAAACATTTATGCTCTTTAAATAGGGAAGAGTCACGAATCATGAATATGCCGAGGTAGCAATGAACCTTCAAAGGCTTCGCGACTATTTTCTCAACCCTTGCTATTGTAATCATGAAATGATCTACGGGAGTTATTGAAAACTAGCCAAAATCGACGCTATCGTAATGCGCGTTAGGTTCGCTAAAATGATCCAACTGGTAGAGTTTCGGCAAGTTCAGTGCTCATTGATCATATTTTTATTGTGTCTATTGTGCGGACACTGCAATAAGGCCCTCTGACAAACTGCCTGAGGCCCATTCCCAGTATAGCCTACATGTTGCAAAGGCAGGTCACTGAATGATCAAATTCACCGAGGTATTTCTTGATTACAATAACTAGGTCATCACCCTCGGAAGATAAAGATATTCTAATACCTCGGTTTCCCTCAGTGGTGAGACCGAAGAGCATATTACTTGGAGTGCCTGTGAAAATATTATTTACTGGCTTGAACCAAGTTTTATATTCTCTGTCGCCCGTAAAACTTATTGGCTTTTGCATCCTCAGTACGCTTATTCGTCTCGCTTGAAACCGACATCTCTCGCAAACAATTTGGACCAACAACCATGCCTCGGGAGACCTTTACACCATCTACAGAACTGCCTCGCTTGCGAATGCTCCTTTTCTATTTGATGCTTACAACCACCATTCACTACGCGCACAATTACACTCAGGCCGCAGACTATCCTCCAGTTCCTTTCATCTATGAAAGCCCCAAAGCATATCGCATTGGAATACTCATTTCCTATCCATTTCACACGTTTTGCGGGTTTTATGGATACAGACTGTACATGTCTGGTAAATATCGAAAATCGATTCTGTATCTTGGCAGCTACGCAAGCCTGGGCGTCCGCACGCCAGCTCACTTCTTTGGAGGAGTTCCTCAAATTCCATGGTTCTGGTTTTTGACGATTTTCACGGACTTCTTTGCTGGTGTGGCTTTGGGTGTCTTCTGTTATGAGACATATGCGTCACAAGTTCTTTCTTCTGTCCCAATTGGAGTCTGAATTCATGCTTATGTTACTTTGGATCAAATGTACCTAACCAGCCTTCCCTTGATGTGCGGATCCTATCATAGAAATAAGACAATGGATTCCCCAACATACGCTTGTTGGCGAGCACAGCTCCTGATCCGGACATGTCGAATGCCCACAACGCATACGGGGCTATCCTAACCTTGATGAGATCTCTTGTATATTGGAGACTGTCCATACCACAAACCTACTTTGATAAAAAAATGTAATATGCGAGAGAAGAGAGATATAGGACCTGGTAGTTAGGAATGAAACGGGCATCCACCAGCATATCCTTGCTTCTTTAATTCTGTGGATATGTCCTCCATTTCATCCACTCCGCGTTTCTCCTGGGCAGTGGGGCCAATAGTTCTCAGGTCATATCCGTCTGCTCGCCATAGACCCCAGACTGTCAGAGAAGGTCCGCCAGTTATCCACGGCAAAATTGCCTTGAAGCTCCACCGATTAGAAAAGGTTGGCTTCACATACCAAGGATGGGCAATCCAGAAGTTGGCTGTATAGATTGCGCACCACCTCATGGGCTTCGATGACAGTCATCTCCGATAATGGACGTCCATTTCGGTAATATTTTGTTTCAACAGAACGGGCACGTTGGTAACGATATTTTCTTACTGCTAGAATATAGATTACAGAGAAACCCACGGCAAGATATGCAAGTTGGTGGGTGTTAAAAAACCGGGACCGTCTTAAACATGATGGCAGTGAGACCGGAGACAAAATAGAGAAAGAAGGATAAATGATCATAATATAAGGCTGTTTGCTTGCAAATTGAATACTACTTATATTCCGGAGTGCCCGTGTGGGGCATAAATCAGAATGCCGAGATATTCTAATCAACGACATCAAGACCCGTACGTTGGGGATACTCCCAACAAAGCGAACCTGGGATTATAATTCTTATTATAAAAGATAGGATCCCTTTCCTGGACTTTGTGTGTTCTTGTCTCCAGTCGTCCCCATCCACTGGGATTTCGGAAAATAAAATGGCCAACTTCGCGCTTGATACGCCAACGGTTATCGCAGTTCTAGTGATTTTACTACTTGCATATAAGAACCTGCCATGGGTATGGCATGTGAGTATTTTGCTATAACCGAACCCATAAAAATCACGTCACTAACAAATTATGCACAGTTCCGATTTGTCCGAACGCTTTTGACTCGACTCTTCATCACCCCTGTCACTATCGACCAGCTGAGCCCAGAATGTCTCTTCCTCCCCGCCATTCACCGTACAAGATCGCCCGTGAGCGAATGCGATTACAATATTCACAAATCCAATTCGACATACTTCACCGACATGGATATCTCGCGGGGCAATCTTAGTCTTCTCCTATTCAGCCAGCGCCTGTCGTTCCGTCCAACGCAAAATACTGCAACCATGATCTTAAGTGGCGTACAGTGTGTTTTCCACAGAGAGATCAAACCATATCAACCGTTTGAAGTTTGGTCGCGTGTTCTGAGTTGGGATGAGAAATGGATCTATATCGTGACGCATTTTGTCGTCCGAGGCGCCTATCGACCAAAACAATTCTGCCTCCAAAAAGATAGTGTCGAGATACCATCTCGTTCGAGGGAGCGTGGAGACGGGGTGATGCAAGAAAAGAAGCGCCGAAGCGTATTCGCATCTGCAGTGTCCCGATACGTGTTCAAGCAAGGAAGGAAGACATTCGCCCCAGAAAATATGCTAAAGGAATGTGGCCTGCTTCCGTCTACAGATGCCGAGATGGGCTCTGACCCCACTGGGTCTGACCAAACAAATCCTTCTCGTTTAGTCTGGCGAGAAATTGAGGCAAGACGCAAAAGGGATTTGGAAGTTGCCCAATTGAAAATGGGGTGGGACGGCGTCAACAACTGCTTCGAGGGCGAGATTCATACGGCGCTTGGAAGATATACCGATCTGTTATGGAGATAGCAGAGAGCCGTTTCTTGCGATATATGTCGAATACCAAGTCGAGTACATGGTGAAAACAGGGTATCTTACCAGATACCATACAAAGTGCATATTACAGTTAGTCATCGATGTCCGCATAGATTGTTGAAAAAGGTTTTGTCATTTTTAGAGTTCTCAACATCGGTCATTCATACCATACATTGTTCGTACACCAGATTTCTGTCAATATACCTTATCTTGCTGGCCTACATCCGCCTTGGCCTGGTTGGGCATAGGCCTTAGCATTTCAAGTCATGCTTGTTTCCCTGTAATTTACCTCAGGCCATCGGTTCTCTGTATTTTGCTATCTATCTGAAAGTTCAGCTAGTTTCCGTATCTTTATCTCTCATTCAGTGCCTCTCTCCGGAATATAGCAGGACTCTCCATAGTAATTGGAAATCACCTTCTGCTTTCCCTCTATTCTTATATCATTGATAAATGCGGCCGTTGCATTATGACATGTTTTATGAAACTTCTGGTACATATATTAGTCCTAAGATATATGAATAAGGGGCAGAGATAGTGGTCTTTTGGCCAATTACATTTTACTACCATTTTTGGACCAAAATATTTCCTCGGATGTCGAAAAAGAAATGAATGATCTGAAGAGTTGAGGATTTGGCGTGACCCACACGGCTAACCCAACGCAATGAGAGCCGAGGCCGTCGAGTGATTAGGATATCATAGAAATATCGGCACACCAGCACACCACCCATAGGATTCAACATACGACTCTGATTCTGTTGTGGGAAGAATCGTTACACTATTGCTCTCGAAGACACCACCTTGTACCCTTGCCATGAAGAAACATACAAGGCCATTAACCCATGACACCGAAATGTTTGGTGAGAACTCTGTAGCTAATCCGGAGGATAGCGTTTCAGTGGATAGAGGAAAATATCCACTACGTTCTAAACGCCCGGGTAGACAGCGGCTAGATGCACCAGGTGCTTCTGTTTTATCCCAGGTCAGAATTGTTTGTGTTCACTTAATTCTTTGGAACGGGCTATAGTTAAAACTCAGTAGGAGCGGAGAAACCAACTCCGACAGGCTCAAAAAGTACACAGGGCGAAGCAGAAGGTGATTCTTCATAATGCAACTGTGCGAGTATCCGAACTAGAAGCTCAGATTGAGAAGATCCGAGACGCATTTGCCAACCTTGAGAACGATGCCGATGCCTCTGTCAGTCGTCCAGCAATATATGAGCGACTTAATAAGCTGCGTGCAGCAATTTTTCTACCGCAGTCAGAAAATCCAGGGAAGAGCCCAGCTGCATCTGAAATGGCAAATCACAATCCACCACCTGGTACCTGTGAATATGTGGCTTCTCGGAAATTATTACTACGGCCTGGCTCTACAAATAGACCAGGAGGGACACACTCCCCGCCCAAAGACGAATTTGGAAATGCAATTTACCCTCCGAATCGCCGGATTACAAGGCGTGTTCTTGGAAGCATGGCGATAGCTGATAGGTCCTTGGATGGGGATACAGACTTTCATCAACAGAAAGTACTTAAGACATTTGGGCTTGGGGGTCAATGGTTCGACTGTCGAGATGTTGAAGGATATCTAAGCGAGCGCGGAGTATCCATGAAACAACACTGTGCACTTCCTAAGATATCGGGAAGGAAAGCAGATCGCATCCTTTATCTTGATTTATTCTGTCGTAGTGAGTTCGAAGATGTTGTGATAGGTTGCCGAGATATACTTACAAAACGACAGAACTATTACACAGTACTGTCATTCTAGGTCGAGTACCGGGGTTCTACAAGACTGATGTTGAATATACGTTTGCTTCCTCGCTGCATCGCGATATCTCATCGCCATTATGTTAAGAGCTAATTCAAATGCTGGGAAGCACACACCTTACAGGTCAGGTTCTTGCGTGGTATCAGCACAAGGCGACATATAATGGCTGTCAGCTGGAATCAATGGAAGCCTTGATCTAGGATTTCAGTAGCGCAAATTGTGCGATTGAAATAGATAATTATAAAAAAGGCTCTGCAGTAAGACGGAGGGACGTGTCATGGGTCATGATCTGATTGTGGACTTTTGTTCGGTAAAATAGACCCGTTCTCCTTTTTATCATATGACTCTTGTTCGAGCGTTGTTTCTGGGAATGATAAGCCGAGAGACCGGAACTATTAACATACTTCCAATGTTGCATCATTCAGTTCCCATACAGTGGCACATCCCGTAAACGCAGTGAAAAGTCCAAAAGGACCCCATGCATGCATTGTCTCGGTCCGAGTAATACCAAAATTGAGCAGATTCTAGTAAATAGAAGCAATCGTCACGACAGTACCTCGGGGCCGACGATATGTCGGCATATTATTCAAGACTGCACGGTGATGATTATTATATTTACTACCACCAGTGCTGATGCAAGTACAATCCACACATATTATAATGCTGCAGACAGATCTTGTCACGAGGCCATGAACTGCTTGCTTATTTGGGGTTATTTTCTCAATCTGCACGAGTCAACCAGACTGCATGAGACTGCATGGCTACTTTTTGACATTCAGGATGAGTTTCTATTGGCCTGATTTTTCAGACGAGCATATTTGCGAATGTTTGAAAACAATTTTCAATGGTAAGTAGTCGTTTGACTTTGAAGCCCCCTTTAAGCCAAGGCTCGAGTTCCTTATAGATACCACCTAAGGGCCACCATAGGAAAGTAATGGCGATAGTAGTCATAGCCCAGATAGAAATGATTTGGAAACCCAGTTCCCATATATACGGCTTAGGGTCACGATGACCCAATGGCTTTCTCTGGTCTTTGTGAGGATAACATATATCTAATCCACGAAATAGCACCATCTGCGACTGGAAGATGAGAGAGTAACCCCGTCAACGCCTATGCAGTCTGCGATGGTATTAAAGCCTGCCGCTCTTGGTCAGGCAATTGGTATGATAGGAGAGACTCGCTCCAACCGCCATCGTCATTTTAACAAGGGTCCTAGAATTTTCCCTGGTCGTAAGCTTTCTTCTCTTGCCACTGCCGGCAACACATCAACTAATGACCATGCAGAACAGTATC